GACTTAATAAAATTATGTTTTAGGTAAACGTCGTTACAACATTAAACTATGGAAAACGTTTACTGATTGCTTCAATTGCCTACCTGTTGCTGCAATAGTAGACGAAAAGATATTTTGCTGCCATGGAGGCTTGAGTCCGGATCTTCAAAGCATGGAACAGATCAGACGTATCATGCGACCGACAGATGTACCTGATCAGGGATTACTCTGTGATTTATTGTGGTCTGATCCCGATAAAGACACTATGGGTTGGGGTGAAAATGATCGCGGTGTATCCTTCACTTTCGGCGCAGAAGTCGTTGCCAAGTTTTTGCACAAGCATGATTTTGATCTTATATGCCGTGCGCATCAGGTAAAAAGATTTTTAATATATACATATATATTAGATACTTTGTTTATGAGATGCTTCTTAAATGGAAAATTATTCTTCAGGTGGTGGAAGATGGTTATGAATTTTTTGCCAAACGACAGTTGGTGACTCTGTTCTCGGCTCCGAACTACTGCGGCGAGTTTGACAATGCAGGTGCCATGATGTCAGTGGACGAGACTCTCATGTGCAGTTTCCAAATTTTAAAACCGGCCGATAAGAGGAAATTCACCTATGGTGGTCTCAATGCTGGACGGCCTGTGACGCCACCGCGGGGTGCAAACAACAAAAATAAGAAGAAGTGAAGTCCTTAGATTTATCTTTTCGAATGCTTAGAACTGCTACCGCCCAACCCGACATCTATCTATCGAGACATTAAGACCTCGTCGTGTGTGTGTGTGTGTGTGTGTGTGTGTGTGTATGCGCGGGCGCGTGCGTGCGTGTGTGTGTGTGTGAGCGCGCGTGTGCGTGCGTGCGAGAGGGGGGAGGGGAGAGAGAGAACGAGAGCGAGAGAGAAATATGAGTTATAATAATAATTATTATTATTACATTATTATTTTTGATCGACTACGAAGCCTGTGTGGAAATAATTACATCTTATCGGAAAATCCGGAGGGGCGTTGCTTTTCACAGAGTTTATCAAAAGTAGTAAGTAATAGTGCAGATGTAGCTAAATGTGTTACTGTATAAAACAAAATAGTAGTGATAAAACTAATCGATCGATAAAATTAGAGAGAATTTTACGTGATTTTCACGATATTCTTAACAATTGAAAAGTAAAAAGTAGAAAAAAAGAAAGACAGGCACTTTCGCTATAATTCGTCTTTCCTATTCGTCAATCGTAACATCTGCATCTTGTAGCTTGTTCATCATTTGCATTTACACTCGTCAAGTGTCTGATTAATCGAGAAAAGACGTGACATTTTTTTTAATCACTTTACGCTGTGAGAAAAATCGATATGATAATTGTGTCACACATATACACATACACTCACGTGCGCACTCTCGTTTCATTATGTAAGTATGCTATTAACGAAGATATCGATACACAAATAATAAAGTAGCCATCATCTAGACTTAATTCCCTAAAGTATAATAGATATTTATAGCTTGGTACTTCTGTAAGTTGCACAAATTTGTAAACGACATCTATTACGTCATACCTACTTTTATAAATATACATTTATATATGTGTGAATTGTGAAATACAGAGAGGGAGAGAGGGAGAGAAAGATTTTGGTTCAAGAGTAAGTGTGTCAAACTGTTAATTACTAATATACACATTATATTGTCTTGCGATGAACGGGAATATTTATATCGCAGTTATCATGGCAAAGCTTCTCTGGATTATTTTAATTTTAACGATGCTACAATAGTCTAGTTTCCATCGAGGATTTAAACCGGATCAGAATGTAAGAACTAACCAATTTCAGTCGAGCATTCCCCTGTTATTCGACTATAACAGAGGAACACTCAACTGTAATTGGTTAGTTCTTACATTCTGATCTGATTTAAACCCTCGGTGGAAACTAGAAGGCCAATGTCCATATATAAATAGGGAGAAGATATTAATCATGTGATGTAAATGAGCACACGCGCACCGTATAACGATTGATGTCATTGATGAGAGGCGATTCTAATTTTCGAAATAATACGAAAAGGAAGAAACCTTTTGCAGTTGGAGCATTTTCCATCACCCGCTCGTGACAGTTCTGTAACAGGATCATTACTATTGTTAATATTACACACACGCACACACACACACACACACAAGTCTTCCTTTTCCCTCGCTCCCCTGCATTCATTCACATTCATTTTATTCATTTTCCCTTTTTTATTCCACTCCTAAACTGATCTTATTAGCCACAATTGATTACAATGCACAGATTCATCATCGATAGTATAAAGAAAAACACGATAGCTATGAAAAACTTATCTGACGCGAGGATTTTATCCACGGGATCTTAAGATCGATCATGTTTAGTTTCCCTTTCTTCATACTTGTACATTTCTTTTTTATAAATAAAATTCACATAAAAACATGTATCATATTTCTTTAGTCGATGTATCACATCCATCATCCCGACGCGGCCATTTCTCACTTGCGTGAATTTGGGTTGTGTTTTACTCGCTCCAAAGTTTATCCTTGAAGCGAGTAACTGCGTGCGTGCGACGTGTCACTCTTGATTTTGTTCATCAGAATATCTCGTACGTATATATATCGAACGAACGCATAACAGGTACTATTTATAATATATATATATAATACTATACGCGTGACATTTGTTTATTCTTGTATTCTTGTATGTGTATCCGCTCGTGGAAGATACGTCTATTATGTATATAATGAGAGTAATTCCAAGTTTGCTATTAGTCTCGCCATGTTCAGTTGGATACGATTGTTCTGGCAGATGTAACTTTACCTATGTCACATTCAGAGAGAGAGAGAGAGAGAGAGAGAGAGAGAGAGAGAGAGATGTATGTATAAGGGCTAAACCGGCAACACCAATCATTATTAAGCTCCTTGCGACGCACCTTCGTTAGCGTTACTTTACCAAGTACAAGTACGTCTCAATTTCAGAGAGTTCAGTTTAAATACAGTGAGAACAATATTAAGATCAATAGTGATTAGCAAGTAAAATGTTTAATCTAGTTGCGTAATAAAACTTTTTTTTTGGAGTACACTGGAGCGAGAAAACGGGAAAAGGAAGGAGACAGCAACAGAAAAGCAGAAAAAAGGGAGGCATATATAGGGACTAGAAACCGTAATTAAAATAATTCAACTTTCTGATATTCAAAGCCTGTATAAAAGTATATGTCAATCGTAGCTCGATCTTTATTTCACATCAAGTGTATCATAGGTACAAATGATAAATTTAGCCAAAAATAAAATAAAATCGTAACGAGCCGGCCAAAAAGATTTTCGACTTGTTTATCTTTCTAAATAATTATAACAAATAATAATTCTACTTGTTAATAATCATTCTCGTGTAAGCGTTATTAACAGTGTTATGTATATAAATAGTATTATATAATATTTATTAATAATCAATTACAAAAGTGGAGACGCGCCCGCGCCGCACCGTGTAGGAGGGCTTGGGAATTAAAGATCAAAAGGGAATATGCCAAAAACTGTTTCATGCACAAACAAAATTGTTACTTAGGAAGCTGTTGACTAAAGTGTTGTGAGATGCAAAACGAAACGCCAAAAGTATCGTGAAGGGGAGAAATAAAAGCACGTTATGACATGCGATCTAAGATTGTAAGAGCAGATTAGTCACCGAGAATTGCGCAAACTCCGCGAGATACAAAGAGACGTACAAGAGGCATCTTCTTGACGCGCCTTCGTTCCAAAAGAAAAGAGAGTATACGTATATAATAGGAGAATAATGAAGCTTATCTGCAAACATAGGCGAAATAATTAATTTTAAGAGAAATGGATAATTATTTCCTTCTTTTCGATAACATTTTTATATTTTTCACGAAATTGATTCTTCTTTTGAAATAACATACATCGATATAAGTAACAATAAATTATGTATAGATGAGAAAAACTATTTTATGCAGAAAAATGAAAAAATTTACATATTTTAATTCTCCATTTGTTTTATCAATTATTCATATTACGTCTGCATTTGTATGTATAAAGGCTCCGACTTGTCATAGCATTTGTTCAAAATGCCAAGTCAAAGTCGAACTGAACTTTTTCTCTTGCATGTGATATCAAAAAGGTTGGTCTAAACAGTTTTATAGATGAAGAATAAAAGACTAACGATCTTATACATTGAAAATAAAAAAAGCGCGCGCGCGTGTTTCCAATAATGAAAATTTATATTAAAATATATTACCCCCTCCCATCTCCCCCCCCACACATACACACACACGCACGCGCGCGTATTAATATATTATACAATATTGACAGATTGCAGAATTTATGTGAATGTTGAAGCGACAGCATGCACGAGCATGAATCATGTGGATCTATGAATGAAAAATGTTACAGTATATAGATATACTATATTTCATTCGGCACTATACAACTGTACGTAGTACACAAGTATTATTAAATAACTCTGTGAAAAGAAAAGAATTTGTGATTGAATTGAAGACTGCATACCTCAATTTAGCCCTTTTTGGATTCGTTTCCTCTCTCTGTCTCTCTCTGTCTCTCTCTCTCTCTCTCTCTCTCTCTCTCTCTCTCTCTCT